GGGGGGGGGGGGGGGGGGGGGGGGGGGGCGGGGGGGCCGGGGCCAGGTCCCAGCGCCCGCATTGGCTTTGACTAAAATAGGCATCGTGGCGGCGGCGGCGGCGGCCGGGGCTGGGGCTGCAGCGCGCACGCGCCCGTCGCCCAGGCGCCCCCCGGCGGGCGGAGCCCCGCGCTTCGGCCCGACTCTCGCCGCGACTCCTGTTCCGCGGCAGGGCTGCCCACCCGTGTGGCAGGTTTGAAACGCCTGCTTGTTTCTCCCCTCGTTCCCTCTCTACTTCTGAATTCTGGCCTTGTTTGGGCATGAGTGGGGGGCGGGCGGCATGATGGGGTCCAGTGGCGTTGGTGGCGCATCACCAGGGGGATAACTCGAGAAGTGGGGTCCCGGTAGGGAGAGAATCAGTACAGAAAGTGAGAAACAAAATCTCCATTTCTCTTCGCAGCTGAGCGACCCACAGGCATAACTCGTTTCTGGGACAGTCGCTCGCAACTCAGTACAAGCAGGGAATGGCCCGGAAAGCGCGCGACTCCGCGCCTGAGCCTGGCGGCCGAGCGGGGACGTTTGGTCACAGCGGTCGGTGACCCAGCGAGGGTCAGCCCTCCTGCTGCTGCTGCTGCTGCGGAGGCCACGCGGGAGAGACTTTTGGCACAGCCCACTGTTTTTGTTTTCATAGAAGGGTCCTAGTCCGAAATTTGCATGCCCGTAGCTGCGCATGCCCTTTCATTGTAGGCGAAGCTCCACCCGAATTTGCCTTGTAGCTTTGGTAGACTTGGGACCATAAATTGGAAAATAAGATATGAAAATATGTTCCAATCAATCTGTACTGGTTGTTGGACAACTATTTGGGCTAAGAGATGCATAGAAAATTGATGAAGAGTTGCAGGACAAAAGAGAATGTTAGATGGGTGTCCACAGTTTCCACCAGAAGTGTCCCATTGGGGGATAGATTTGCACTGGGTATTAGAGTGTGAGGTCGTTTAGGCGTGCCAGCGTGATCTAAATATAAAAAATGCCGCCACCGATTGTGTATAGGTACATAATAAGGTAAGTGCCTGGAAGTGCACGCTGGTCAAGTCTCTCCATGTCCAGGAACTTGGGCGGTGGTGGCGCACAAACGGGGTTTGAATTCTGCCTCTGCCACCAGCTCGCTTTATGACCTCGGAGAAGATACTTAGTTTTCTGTGCCTCAATTTCCTCTTTGTAACATGGTGATGATGATGATAATGGCACCTGTGCTTCGTAGGATTGTTTTGAGGACTAAGTGGTGTAATGCATATAAAAGGACTTAGAATGGTATTTGGTCCTTAGGCTCTGGGTATATGAATATATGTTTATAAAGCTCCTTTTCTAACATGTCTGAAATGTGCTATAAATATTCAAGATAAGGTTTCAAAGCTACTTCTTCGGAGTCTGTTTTCTTATAGATGCTCTGCCAGTCGTTTCAGTGGCTACCACTAAATACATTTTAAGGTGTGAATGATATATGTGCACAAAGATTTCACTACATGGATACTCATTGAAGATGGCTTATAATAATGAGTACTGGAAACAGCCTAAATTCTAACCAGGGGAAACTGAGTAAATTATAGAACATCCAAGCAATCTCGTTCTAAAAAGCCATTAAAAATAATTTATAGAAAGATATTATAGGCATAATAATAATGTCTACTAACTGTATAGAGCAAAGGTTAGCAAATTATGGCCCAAAGGCTCCTACACCCTGCCTGTTTTTGTACTCCCCGTGAACTAAAATGGTTTTTACATTTATTAGTGGTTGAAAAAAACCAGAAGATTTCATACGTGAAAACTATATGAAATTCAAATTTAGTATCCATAAAGTTTTATTGGAATCCAGCCATGCTCATTTTTATGGCTGCTTTTTTTTTTGTTAAAAGGCAGCATTGAGTAGTTGCAACAGAAACTTTATAGTCTGCAAATATTTGCTATCTGGCTGTTTATAAAAAAATTTTACTGACCCCTGACATAGAGTGTGCTTTGCGCCAAGCACTTTAAAATAAGTGATTTTTCAAATATATTATTTAATCCTCACAAAGGACCCTATGAAGAAGTAGTTACTATTATGATCTCCATCGTGTAGATGGGAAACTGAGATAACAGGGGTTGAATAACCTGCTTAGGGTCACGAAGCCAGTGAGAAACTGAGCCAGGATGTGAACAAGGCAGTCTGTTTCCAGAGCCTGCACCCTAGTACACTAGCTGTACAGTTTCTGCCACCTTCTACCTCTAGCTACACTACTTCCTGTGGAAATATGTTAAATAGAAAAAGGCAAGTTACAAAAATGTGTTACAAGAATAATATGCATCATTTATGAGGATAAGCACTAATAGACTGACATTCATTAATTGGCAGTGATGAGCTTTGTAACTGTTTTTTCCTTTTTTCCCCTCCTTTCCTCTCCTCTTCTCCAGCTCCTCCTCCTGCTGCTGCTTCTGCTAAATTTTCAACCATGATTATATGTTACTTTTATATTTTAAAAACATATTTATTAAAAGCATAGAGCCCAGGTTATGGCTTTTGCAGACTGGAAAGGCAGATTCCAAGGGTCTGGAATCACCTGTTACAGGACGTACTTGATGGCGTTTGGATGTGTTGTCCCCTCCAAAACTCATGTGGAAATCTGATTCCCAATGTGGCAGTGTTGGAAACAGATTGAGTCATGGGGGTGGATCCCTCATGAATGGATTAATGCTCTCCCTGGGGGAGGGATGATTAATGAGTGAGTTCCCGCTCTATTAGTTCCCGCAAGAGCTGATTGTTTAAAGGACCCTGGCTCTTCTCTCTCTCTCTCTCTCTCTCTGTCTCTCTCTCTCTCTCGTGCTTCCTCTTGCCCACCAGCTGCCTGCTGCTTTTCTGCCTTGAGTAGAAGCAGCCTGAGGCCCATGCCAGATGCAGCTGTCCTAGAATCATAAGCCAAATAAACCTCTTTTCCTTATAAATCACCCAGTCTCAGGTATTTCTGTTATAGCAACACAAAACAGACTAACACAATACTCTCTACCTATCAGGATAGGATACCTGTAAGGCATTTGTATTAGTCCGTTTTTGTTGCTTATACAAAATACATGGAACTGGATAATTTATAAAGAAAAATGAAATTTATTGCTTACAGTTTCTGAAGCTGGGAAGTCCAAAGTCCATCTGGTGGTGGCAACAGTGACCCAGGAGTCTCACGTTGCAAGATAGTGGAAGCAGAGAGAGAGAGAGAAAGACAGATTCTCCTCTTCTTTTAAAGCCCTTGGAACCATGCCCCTGACCACCATTTTTAATCCATTCACTATGGCATGGTCCTACAATCCAATCACCTCTTCAAGACTCCACCTTTCAATTACCTATAGGATTTCCCACCCCCTTAACAGTAACAGTGGGGGATAAGTTTCTAATATGTAAAACTTGGGGGACACAACTCAAGCTCCAGTGAGTTTGGGGGAGACATAATTGATCCACTACAGCACTGAAATTATATAAAGATTGTACACTTTTATGAAAAGAGCGCTGAATTAGACTTCATAATACTTGAGTTCTAGCCTTTGACAGAGTCCATGTTTTCTCTGAGTCTGTGTTCTATAGGAAGGGAAAGTTGAAAAAGACCTAATCCCCTCCCTGTAACCCATCTAAAGATTAAAAGCATAATTTATAATGAGTATACTGCTATATTTTAATTTCTAATTACAGATATGTGAATGCTAACTCTCTAAAATTCAAAATAAGAATTCTAGAAGCAAAACCATGGGTTTGGGAATACCTTAAGGTCCCTGGTCTCCTGCTGACCATGGAAAGGTCAGGTTAAAAGATTCCAAGGGGCTGGCCTGTGGCTCACTCGGGAGAAGTGCAGTGCTGATAACACCAAGGCCACGGGTTCAGATCCCATATGGGGATGGCTGGTTAGCTCACTTGGGAGAGTGTGGAGCTGACAACACCAAGTCAAGGGTTAAGATCCCCTTACCGGTCATCTTTAAAAAAAAAAGATTCCAAGCACTGTTTAAAAACTAGGAAGCAAGGAGGTAACTTGCACAGATGTGTAGAATGAAAAGAATGAGACACAACAAAATATAGGGACGCCGGTCTCTTCTGAAAAACTCTTGACTAGTACAGCTTAGATTGACATAAACAATTATTTCTACCTTTATTTCTCTATGGGCATCCTAGTTTGCTTTTACTAGTTGGAAAAAACTTTGATGAGACTTCAAAGTTCAGGTAGAATAAGTTTTGTGAAAATAAAACAAGATCTGAGA